AAAGAAACATCTCCTAAGAACAATATTGATCTAAAAACAAACACAAACTAGGAGAGATCAGGGGAACAAATACCTTTACAAAATCTAAATCATAATCTCAATAACTCAAGGGATATAAAAACAGGACCCCTCACCTTGGGAAGGTACTAGCTAGTCCAGAAACCATCGCTGTATCACTACTACGTCTGGTTTCTGCAATAAAACCTACTTTCTGGCAGCTTGCTTCACTTTGTTGGAAACCAGAACCACAGAAAATCTTCCCACAGTACCATGGTGACCAGAACTGGATGCAAAATTCCAAGTGTGGCCTCACCAGTGCGGTATAGATTGATAACTATTATCTATTAATGTTTCTATTACTAGTAGCTATTAATGAATATACTAGTATCTATCAATGAACTGTCTTGATTTTTAAGAAGAAATTTTCCTGTCATGGTACAAGGTGTCCTGCTTGAGCAGGGATTGGACTTAAAGACTCTGTTATTCTGACATACTAATATGAATTTCTTTGAACTTTTAAGACAGTGTGCTCTTCTACGTACCTAAGAGCTCACTCCTAAGAAAAGGTGAGCAGAATCTACTATATTGTAGATTTCTTTACTTCAAGGTTAGTAGAAAAGGATGGATAGCATTTAATGGGAAGATCAGATGACTGACCAAGAAGTACTTCAATTTCTGCTAATAGGAGGCAGTTTTCCAAAGGGGTGTATTACAAGTAGGCATTTACAGTAATTTGCATTCTCTGCTGCGCTTTTACTGCTGTAGAAATGTTTCAGGATGGAAGGTGGACACATCAGAAGAAACTATCAGAAGAAATTCCCCAGGACTGGATAGGTCAGCACCCTCAGAGCATAAATTTGTCACCTCTTCTACGAGCTGCCACAAGATAAATGAATGATAAAATTACGCAGAATATCACTGGATCCTATTAACTATAACTGGCATAATTCTTCCCCTTTAGATTTTCTAATGTGAAATATTTCATTGCTACTTTCTTGGATAATAAAGGACTAGAATGAGGCATGTCTACTTCTTTTGTCTATGTGCAGAAATAGGTAGGTAAATGTTGCTCAGAAGACATTGCATTAACTTTGCAAAGTGGGATTCTTGGAGAAAGGAGCAGAAGGCCCCAATCCAGTGTTTCTCAACTTTGGCAACTTTACGATGTGTGGACTTCAATTCCCAGAATTGAATTCTGAAAGTTGAAGTCCACACATCTTAAAGTTGCCAAGGTTGAGAAACAGTGCCCCAACCTGCTCTGCAAAAGCCCTTGAATTCCCCAAAATCCTTATTAGTACTACTGATGGCTGGAAAATGGGAAGACTGGACTAAAGTGATTTCTAACATTTAATAATAATAATAATAATAATAATAATAATAATAATAATAATAATAATAATAATAATAACAACAACAACAACAACAACGATGATGACGATGATGATGATGATGTTGGAAGGGACCTTGGAGGTCATCTAGTCCAACCCCCTGCTCAGGCAGGAAATCCTATACCAGTGGTGGCGAACCTATGACAAGCGTGCCAGAGGCAGCACTCAGAGCCTTCTCTGTGGGCACACGTGCTGTCGCCCCAGCCCAGCCTCCCCCCACGGCCCCCTCCTCACCAGCAGCCCTCCAGAGGAGAGTCACCCCGGGCGGGAGCCATGCGGAGCAGCACATCCAAGGACATGGTAGCTGGGCAGCAGGGACAAGACACTGTCCTCGCGCCCCATCGTGTGCAGATGATGCTGCAGGGCGCGGGTGGAGGGTGTGGTCACCATGGTGCTGCAGGGCTGCCTGGGCAATCTGCGCCGGACCATGGAGGCGGTGGGTGGCCCTGCGGGCAGACGGGGCAGAAGGCGGAGTAGGGGGGCGGGATGGTTTTTGGGCACTCGATCTCTAAAAGGTTCGCCATCACTGCTCTATACCATTTCAGACAAATGGCTGTCCAGTCTTTTCTTAAAAACTTCCAGTGTTGGAGCATTCACAGCTTCTGGAGGCAGGTTGTTCCACTGATTAATTGTTCTAATTGTCAGAAAATTTCTCCTTAGTTCTAGGTTGCTTCTCTCTTTGGTTAGTTTCTATCCTTTGCTTCTTGTCCTGCCTTCAGGGGCTTTGGAGAATAGCTTGACTCCCTCTTGTTTGTGGCAACCCCTGAGATATTGGAAGACTGCTATCATGTCATCCCTCGTCCTTCTCTTCATTAGACTAGACATACCCAATTCCAGCAACCGTTTCTTATATGTTTTAGCTTCCAGACCCCTATTTTCACATATAGAATCATAATTTCTCTGAGTGCAATCTCAACCAATTTTGAGTTTAAGGAAGGACAGATTAAAAAGCAGGATATGAAAATGAAGCATTACAATTAATCCTTGGAGAAAACAACCTTCAGGTGCTGTAGCATTCTACTTGTTGTGGGCTGCTGCCATTATTAAGCAAATATGTGTCACAAGGATCAAGATTTAAGCTGCTTGAATGTCTCTAGAAAAATAGCTGTTCAAACTTGAAAGTGTGTATCCACAAGTGTTGCCCCCAGCAGGCATTGCTTTTTCAAGAAAATGCATGAGAAATTTCTTTTTCTGCTCTCTCAGCATTATTAAACATGCATTGAAATCGAAAGGACTTCATTTTTGAAAAGCTGCATCAAATAAATGCAAGAAAATTTAAAATACAATGTGTGTCATCCAAGAGACAACTTTTATGAGGCAAAAACATTAATTTATTACATTTTATCCATTAGCCTTTTTGCTTGCTTGGGTGGATATCTGTTGGAGATGCTGTAAGACAGTAGTGGATTCCTCCACAGGGTAGTAGGATTGACCAGATGATTTCTGAGGTACCTTCCAACCTTCATATGCTATGAAAAAAAAATACTGCACTAGATAAACAGCACCAGCTCTTGACATATAGCTATGGTATATTATACCTACTCTCTAATAAGTATTTATGCAATACAAAGGATATTTTAACATTAACCAGAAATTACTAAATTAGGACATAGAGCAGGGATTGTATAAATACACTCAAAAGAAGCAGATTTCTTTAAAACAAATATATGGAACCTGGCCATTTAATATTTTGAATTGTGTTAGGCACAGTGAAGAAATATCAAGTATGGTGTTGTGTATAAGGCAACTTAGGACAACAGTGTCCAAATAAGGCAAAATCTCCATCAGTGTTGACATGACAGATGGTATCCCGTGTTCTTTCTGGCCATCAACTGCAGAAATGGACCCTTTTGGATTGATCGTGCCACAACTCTGTGTGTAGGAACTTTTATAGTTGATCCTTCTTGCCCACCCAGGTCTGTTAGATCAATTTAATTTTCAGCAACTTGGTGTATCCGCTTGGCCACCGCTGTAATTAAGGCTGCTCCTTTCCCACTTCCGTCTTCAGACAGCATAAAAGTTACATCACATTGTGGTGCCAGCTCCTCCACTGTTTCTTGCAAAATCCTAGAAAAGCTAAACACAAGCAAATTTTGACATATACGATATTTTGCACAGTCCAATGGCAAATGTAATTGTTTACGTTGCAAAGACTAGAGAGAGGGGAACACAGAGTGCGCAGGACACTCTGAATGTCTTGTAATGCTCCCAATCCAGCGAGGGCAAAATTTTACCTTGTGTGCCCAAGTTAAGAGGGCAACTTTTGCTCTCACATCAATTATAAAATATACAGGCAATTGTCGCTTAATGACCACATTTGGGGCTGGTAATTCTGTTGCTAAGGGACATAGTAGTTAAGTAAGAGATCCTCTCGCACTCCCACAGTGGTTAAGTGAATCACCCACAGTCATTAAGCGAGACATCACATGACCACGATTTGAGATTTCTTCTCCACTGACTCTGCTTGTCAGAAGTTGGCTGTGAAGCTCAGATATGGTGATCACATGGTCACCCACTGGTTGCCTAGCACCAGAATCTCGACCACATTGACCACAGGGATGCTGCAATGGTTGTAAGCACACGGACTAGTCATAATGTTACTTTGTCAGTGCCTTTGTGTCTTTAAACAGTTGCTAAACAGGGCAGCCATTAAGTGAGGCCTCCCTGCTTGTTCTTCATAAGAGCAAAGGATTTAAGAATGTTGAAGATGTGACTTTAAATGGCCTGCTTCTAAGCTCCTTCTCCACTGAGGATTCCCTTCAACCTTCTCCTTTTTACCTCTTGCTCTGCCAGTCCTTGTTTAGAAGATTATTACCGTAATCACAGTGTCCACCTCCCTCTCCTCTACATTCCTCATGTATTTCCAGTAAATAAATCTCCTTTTTGTTAAAATTACAACATTACAGGCCAGGCAGAGGGAAGAAGGGCTCCCCCCAGCTAAAAATGTTTCCTGTTCCCCGATACAATGGAAATGCAGAAGAATGTTAAAATGTTTTATAGATGGCACATGTCACCAGCAAGATTAGCAAAAATGTTTTAAAACATGTCAGATAGACAAGTCAGGTAATTACCATGTTTGGTGGACATGTGCCAAAGTGAAGAGGTATTGGAAGAAAATACATACTTGGCTAGAAAAGATGTTGGGAAAACATGTAGATTTTAAACCTGAACTTTTTTTATTAGGTATAATGCCAGAAAAGACTGATAAACAAAGCATATATTTGATTTTACATGTAATAACAGCAGCAAGAATTATATTCGCACAGTACTGGAAAAATGAAGAAATACCATCAGATGAAGAAATAATTTAAAAAATCTAGAATGTGCGGAGATGGACAGACTCACTATGAGGTTGAAAGAAAAAGAAGAAACAGAATATTATCAAACTTGGGACTTATTTTATCAATGGCTAGAGAAAAGAATAAAGGATTAGGAATTAAATTTGTATTAGTGAATGTAAAACTCAGACAACATGTTTGTTGAACAAGTATTATTGAATGTATGAAAAAAATCAATAAAATGTTTCTAAAAAAAAAAAGGAAATGCAGAAGAATGCACTTACTTTGGGAAGAGCTATCTCTGGCATTAGTGACATTCGCCATACATACCCAGACTAATACATTTGCAAACTACACATCCCTCTTGGTTCTGCTTTGGGGATCATAAGACTATAGAAAAGAATATAGAGGCTCTTTTAAATATGGATTATTTGCTTCCATATCCGGGTACTCAAATCAGCATTTTCCCAGCAATTCTTCTATGCAGTGTTACCTCTCTCATACTTAAAGTATCTCTTGGTGTCCCTCAGCCATCGCTGAAATAATATAAAGCCTCTTCTAATGATTTCTCAATGGCCAAATGATATGCCACAGAGAGATATACTTATTGGAGACATCCCGGTCCAATTTGCATAATAGGTTTATGAGGTCATGGGGTACATAATAAATATGAAACTTTAACTCTCCCTGGAAGAAACATCCTACTTAACATCCCACCTGTAACCCAAGACAGATTTGCCTGAGGCTATACCAATTGCCCTCAGTCAGTTAATGCCTCCATGTTGTGAATATTTCTTGTTGGCAAGTTAGTTGACTCTCCTTGCTCCTAAGATTGAGAGAACATCCTAAGAAGATCCAATATGAAGTCCCATCTCTAATATTGGACTACAGAATACAATGCTGTATCTACCAAAGTACACTTAAAATTATATTACAATAGACTTCCAGAGCAGCAGTGACTGATCATGGCTCTATTTTTTGTGGAGCCAACAAATGAATGGACCAGCTTCTTGGAATTCCTCTCTGGACTAAGGAGAAGACAAGGATCACCCCTGTTTGGCTCTATAAAGAATCTCCCAGCAGGGAAGGCAATAGGGATTTTGGAAAGTTCAGAGGCTACATGGACTAGAAAGAATATTCCCTGTGGGGTGTTTAAAAATATATAAAATAATATATGAAGTCATTGAATTGTAAGGATTCTTTCTTTCACTGGGAAAGAAAAACAAGAAATTCAAGAAGAAACCAGCATGGCTGCACAAAGATGTCTGTGACAAACTGAAAGACAAAAAGGACAAATGCAAAAAATGGAAAGAGGGGCACATAACAAAGACCGATTATCAGCAGACAGCCAGAATATGTAAAGATGAAGTCAGAAAAGCAAAGGCTCAGAACAAAGACTTGCAACAGAAATCATGGATAATAAAAAAAGTTTCTTCCAACATATTAACAACAAGAAAAAAAGTCAAGGAAACTGTAGGTCCACTAAAGAGAGAAGATGGCAAGGAGGTAACAGGCAACAGGGAGAAAGCAAAGCTGCTTAACTCATACTTTACATTAGTCTTCACACAAAAAGAAACCACAGCCCAACATACCCAAAAAAACATTGCAAAAAATAAATTAAAAACAAAAAAATAAAATAAGCAAGAAAATGGTAAGAGAACACCTATCTGACCTTGACAAATATAAATCACCAGGGCCTGACAGATTACATCCAAGAGTTCTGAAGGAGCTGGCAGATGTTATCTCAGAACCACATGTTTCAAAAATTCTGGAGCACAGGGGTAGTACCTGAGGATTGGAAACTTCAGTAAGGCATTTGATAAAGTAGACCATAGCCTACTCCAGGGGTGTCAAACTGCTGGCCCGCAGGCTGGATGCATCATGCCAAAACCGCGCCCACCCCAGCTCTGGCAATGAGGAAAAAGTCACGATACGTCGCGGCACATCAAGTGACGTGGTGAGTTTGATATCCCTGACCTACTCCTTGGTAAGCTAGAAAAAGGTGGAATAGACAACATCACCACCAGATGGATCTGTAGCTGGCTGGCAAACCAAACTCAATGAGTAGTCCTCAATGGCACTACATCCACATGGAGAGAAGTAAGCTGTGAGATACCACAAGGTTCCATCTTAGGCCCAGTACTCTTCAATATCTTCATCAATGACTTAGATGAGGAATTGAAGGGAAACTCATCAAATTTACAGATGACACCAAACTGGCAGGAGTAGCCAACACCCCAGAAGACAAACTCAGGATCCAAAAAGATATTGCCAAACTTGAACAATGGGCCCTAGCCAACAAAATGAGTTTCAATGTGGAGAAAAGAAAAATTTTACATTTAGGCAGGAAAAATCAAAGGTACAATTACAGAGTGGGCAAGACCTGGCTTAAAAACAGTAACTGTGAGAGGGACCTTGGAGTCCTAGTGGATGATCACTTATGAGCCAGCAGTGTGCAGCAGCAGTCAAAAAAGCTAATACAATCCTGGGTTATATAAACAGAGGCATAGAATCAAGATCATGAGAGGTATTAGTATCGCTTTATAAAACTCTAGTAAGACCACACCTGGAAATTAAAAACCAATTTTGGTCACCATACCACAAAAAAAATGTTGAGAGTTTGGAAAAAAATCAGAGAAGAGCAACTAATGATCAAAGGCCTGGAGACTAAAACACACAAAGAAGAGCTGCAGGACTTGGGTTTGGCTAGTCTAAAGAAAAGAAGAAATAGGGGAGGCATGATAGTAGTATTCCAGTATTTGAGGGGCTCCCACAAAGAAGAGGGGTCATGTTATTCACCAAAGCATCAGAGGGCAGAACAAGAAACAATGGTTGGAAACTGATCAAGCAACCTGGAATTGAGGAGAAACTTCCTGACAGTGAGGACAATCAAGCAGTGGAACAGCTTGCCTCCAGAAATCATGGGCGCTCCATCACTGGAGATTTTTAAGAAGAGGCTAGACAGACACTTGTCTGAGATGGTATAGGTTGTCCTGCTTGAGCAGGGGGCTGGACTAGAAGACCCCCAAGTCCCTTCCAGCTCTGTTCTGTTCTGTTCTGCTCTAAAGTTTTGTTGATTGGGAGATTGGCTGGAGGGAACCACAAAGAACAAAAAAATATTCTTAAAAGAGAACAGACCCATAAATGCAATGGAACAACACTATTTGACTGTAGAAGAAATTAAGGCTATTTGGGACAATATACTCAGAAGTTGTTTACAAGATTGTTTGATACTAAAGCAAGGATATAGATTAACAACAGAATTTATTGGATAAAACAGATTTGAATGTGGATTTGAATTTTTTAAAAATGCTGGGGTGCAAAAGTGATATGGAGAAAGATGCCGTGGACCTGAAAATGGATTTTAAAATGCTAAGAGTATAAAAGTGATATGGATATGGAAAACCATGCCCAAAATGGATTTACAAATGAAACAAACTGATGTCTTAATAAAGGGATCTGTGGGAAGTCAGCCGCCCAGAGAAGGAAATATTAAAAGGGCAGAAAAATATATTTCCTCAAAGGATCTTAAAGAGGCAGAAAAGCATGCCCAGTTTTTCTTAATAGCCCCAGGTCTCCCTCCCCCAAGCAGAAACCAGTTCTGTAGAAATGCAGATGGAGGCCCCAGCTAGAAGATCAAGAAGACAAAGACACCTAAAATCTACATATCCCACCCAAACTCTAAGACAGGACATAATAGGATTAACACAGAGATACCAAAGGGCACACTCAGACTCAGGTCAAAGTTCTTGCCACAGGAAGCAACTCCAAACAAAAGGCTCCAGAGGGTATAAAAAC